CCGGGGCGGGCCTCTCTGTCCTGGGGCTCCCTCGGCGGCCTGGGCCTGCGCTCCGGGGCCGGGCGGTGGTGTATGCGGGGCTGGTTCCGCAGCTGGACCTGTTCTCCCTCTCGTGATACCCACCGAGATTTGAGAAACGGCATCACTCTCCTAATTTGAACGGAGGTGGCTTTGCCTCTCCAAATCAGCACTTCAGAGCTTAAGAATAAAATTAACCTATTTATAGACTTAAAAAGCGTATCTGCTTCGCTCCTTGGTACCCTGTGGATTCACAGCACTGAACAGCCCAGATTTTTGGTGTAGTTACCTCCCTGAAGAGTTTGAGGTTATCATCTCTGGGCAAACACTGTATGCTGTCATAAATTAAGTAGCCAAAGATGATTCAAAACTTATCACTGTAATTTATGACTAATAAATAGCTCTTGTATTTTGCAGAATCAGTGTCATCAAAGTCAGTTTCTCCTCATGCTTTATGTTCCTTCAGTTCTTGGCTGCCCCAGATGGTTCCATTCCGAGGAAGTCACTGGCAGACTTCACTGCTGGCATTCAGGGCATCTCTCCCCGTGAGGTGAGTGCAGCTACCATGGAGTTACATAGAAGTGTTTTCATCCTTAGGGGAACACAAATTTTCCCAAGTCTAAATTAACTTCTAACTATAGGTATTTGCTTTTAAGTCACTATATGTAAAAGTAGCAAAGAACTGTTGCCCTCTCAAGGAGAGTTTAATGGTAACGTATACAATCATCACTTTGTGCTTGTGTGTAGTTGTATTTGCTTCCTCAACCGTGGAATGTGGTTGGAGATGTTCGGATCTATGCTGTGCTCCAGAATTCCCCTTTGAGCAGCAATGGAAATGAAAGCCTAGCTGCACCAAAAATATTTCACTGTAGAGTGGTATGCTAGACAGCCCGCATTGACGTGTATGTTACATTTTGGTATCCATGTTTTGTTTTGATGCGACTAGATTTAAAATATCCTGGTAGCCATTAGGTACCATCAGAGAGACTGTTTCCCACCATAAAGGCTGTTTGCTTGATCTGCAAGGCAGGAATGATATCCCAGAGGTCCACTGTGAGGATTAGTTTGTGGAGCATGCCATATGTTATCTTGAGTGTACTGGATCTGCGTGGAGAAGTACAACAGGAGCATAAAATCTGCACCTTGAATTTGGTTCCAAATGTGGCAATTTCAAAAGCATGTGTAAAAACACTCACTCTCTTCTTTTAATGTCAGATGACAGGAATACTTGCGGATAAACCTGTTACCTAGTGTAAAACAACTCCAATTTTTGTGGAACTTCCTCAGGTCATTCTGATGTTCAGCACAAAATGGGAGGTTGCTTTTCTCAGGCAGCTACAGTTCTTTCTGCAGAAAATCTCACAAGACATATTACTGTCTCCTGGAAATTGCATTACTTGAATAAAGCTAATGGTGGGACCAAACTCAGCAGTGGGAAGGAACAGTCCTTAGAAAAGTAAATGGAAGTGAAGGCTGCTGGTGTTGAATTAAATGACAAAGTATCTTCTTTAATTCATGTCATTACTTCCCTTGCAGAGCACAACCAAAGAAGAAGAAGAAAGTGGATGTAAAGAGAGAGCAAGCACAGAAAGAGCGTATGAAAAAGAAGATTAAAAAGTTGGAAAAAGCTGCCCCAGAAATGATTCCAATTGAGGATTTTGAAACACCACTTAAGTACTTGGATAGCAACAGGTAAGTAAGACTGTCCTTCACCATGCACTTGCATTCATGGTAGAAACACTTCTAACTTCTTTCTCTGCAAAACTGCAATATAGTGCTAGCCTTGGTACAAAACCTCATCTACTTCTACCAGGGCAAAAATATGGAAAACAAATTTTCTATGTTCCTGCTAAAAGTAGTAGAAAATACAGTAACATGAATTTCCTGTTAGAATGATTGGAAAACCTCAAAGACAGACACTGCATAAATGAAATGTATTCTCTGGGTTTGGAGGGCATTTTTTGGTTGGTGGTGGGTTTTTTGGTGTTTTTTTTTTTAATTTGCTCTTTGGTGTACAGGCTATTCCTGTGTTACAGTGTTACCTTACTCTCTATCAGGGTGCGAAGCCTTTCCCCTCTGTCATTTGAGGAGACTGAAAGAAGAGTTTTACTTATGAAAAAGTGGTGTTTGTTTAAGCAGAAACAAGACAAGGCAGAAAAGAAAGCAATTCAGACCCTTGTAGAAGCTCAGCAAGAGGCACTGAAGGAACTGCGCCTTGAATCGGAGGAGCTGTATCAGGCAGCAATCAGACGAGATGAGGGGCTTTTCCCCTTCGAGAGAGATGGACCTAATTATACCCCAGCACTTCCTGGTTACGATCCTCCTGAAGGAAAATGCGTTGATATCACCAAAGTATATACCCAGTAACGGAGGAGTTTGTTGTTCATCTGGCGTGAGCTACTCAGCTGACTGAAGGAGGAAAGAATGGAACAAGAATAAACATTTCCTTCTGCAGGCTAAAACACTGTAGGTGTGTGACTGTAAATAAAATTACTGAAGTACTGTTTGGGTTTTTTTAAAGAATGCTCTAGGTAGTAAGACACCCAACAAAACTACACTACCTTAGACGTGTGCACTGCTAGAACAAGACACTGTAGCGTTTCACACACTGTCATTCTGGGCTTATATCTCTCATCCCTCCATACACTCCCAAGCAACACTCTTTGTTCTGCATAAACTGTAACTTGAAAGATTCCTGGGTTATGAGGAAAGAATGTCACTGTCACCGCATCGGTCTGTACTGTAAGGGAGGTAGCAGCTGTTTACTGCCTTTCTTCTCAGACTTCAGTGCTTTCACATCCAAAAGGGAAAACAGATGGAAATCATACTGTGACAGTGTGGTTTTTTACATTGCCCTGTAGCTATCCCTGGACGTGTTGTTGTAGCACTTGTAGACATGGTTTAGTGGGCATGGTGGTATTAGGTCAATGGGTGGACTTGATGATCTCAGAGGTTATTCCAACCTAATGATTGTGTTGTGACTAAGTTTTTTCACAGTTTGCTCTGAAACAATAACAGGTCTCTCTTCATTCATTTAAACCTTTATTTTTGTAGTAATTTTCAATACTGCTATTGATACACAACACCATTCGAGAACAGGTCCACAAAGGGGCTGTACTTGTAGGGCTGGCAACATATCCCACCAGGCAAGAAGCTCTTCACCCGTAACAATTGTGAATCTGGGAAATGCTGTTGAAATGCCATTGGTTGGGATTGTCCTGAACTGGCAGGGAGGAGTCCCAGCTTGCTTTTGTTTTCCCATTTGGCAGGCCTGTGGTGGGTACCTTGTTCCAAAAGTGCGCAACACCAGCTGGTAGGGGAAGAGGTCTAGCAAGAGGAGCTCGATCACGTAGCGCTAATTTGGGAGTTGCCTGACAAGTTGCTGATATGAAATCCTGAAGTGTGAGACAATAGTAAGAGACCAGAATCAAATTAAGTACCTCAATTGTCCCTTCAAAAAATACTGGGTGTTTAAATAAACTCTTAGTATTTTTGATACAGTTGTATCATTTCAAGATGACATGGAAGAAAAAAACCCAGCAGAGTTCTGCATTGGGTAGTACATTACTGACCAAACACATCAAAACAGTTTCACTAATTTGGTTTGTCTTGGTCAAGTGGAAGATGCCAGTCAGGTGGTGGGCTCTTCCTGAGCATCCACACTGGAGCATATTTCTGTTTTTCCATAACTCGAGCTCTTTCACTCTTGCACAAAGCTTCCTGAAATACAGGAAAAAATATTGCCATGATAGTGTTGGATGTTCCAGTCTTATTTCCTGCTGTGACTATTGGAGATAAAACAGGAAACAGAAACTTATCGTGGTTAAACAGTAGTGCCAAATGCTATCTCAGTAAGCAAGGATACGAGCTTTTAACTATGTCACATTTATATTTTGCTTCGACCCCTCCATTATGAAGAAAACCACCACTTGTGCACTACCCTCCCTGCCAGAAGTTGTCCTAGTTGGCGGAAAGGATGGGTTACGCTGCAGCGTGCGCTGAAGGGCGTTCATCTTTCAGTGTTCACGGGGCTGTAGCGAGGAGGATTTCTAGACACCCCAGGAATACTTTTTGCCTGTAATGTGGCAGCTTTTCCTATTAGGAAGGGAACATTAGAGCAACTGAAATCAAGTGCTTTTCCAGCCAACACTGAAAATACTCCTGCTGGATGTTCGGACCGTCTTACCCACCTTCACCCCAAGCAAACCCTTGCTTTCCAAACCCTCCCAGCTGTGTGACCGCC